GGGGCTTTCCGCTCGGCACGGGATGACGGGCGGCGCCGGGGCCAGCAACAAGCCCGGCTCTGCTCCGTGTGCTCGGGACAGCCCGCGGGGCGCCGAGCGCTGCCCGGAGATGCTGCTGCACCAGCGGTGGGACAGCCTGTGTGCCCGTCCCAGTGCCACCAGAGGCCGGTGGCATCCGGCTGCCCAGAGCAAACAGGGCCCTGCACGGAGCCTGGTGCAAACAGCCAGACACAGGAGATGCCCATCAGCTCCCAAACCTTGGAAAGCTGCCCTGGACAGAGCAGGAAGGGAAGAGCAGAGACGAGGTCTTAGAGCCTCCCTTGCAGCAGACAGCAGGTCCTATTCCCCTGGAAATGGGTACAAACCCCCTGCACAGCCCCCAGGCTCCAGCACAAGCTGCAGGGACCGGGCACCACACGCAGTCAGTCAGGCCCTAACAGCTGCTTTGCAATTTGCAGGCATCCGCCAGGCACTTAATTTTTCAAACATCCGTGAGTTCTGCTCAAACGGCGACTTTTTGCCCAGTTCTGCATTATGCATGAGCCACCCCCCGCCACCCTCCTCCCCGTCTGCGCCGCCAGACATCAAAAGCCCGTGGAGCTCTTCAGAGCTGAGACACGAGCTCAGGTGATGTGACCCAGACGAGCTACAGGCAGGGGAGAAGGGCCCAGTTAATGAGCACCAGCATTAAGGCAGCTCAAAGTGACAGTGCCCTATGTCCCCCGTGTCCCGTGGGGCGAGTGCAGCGCTGGGGACAGCCCGAGAGCCTCCCCATGGGGCTGCAACACCTTGGAAAGGCCACAACTTGGGGCTCCTGTGACCCACTTTGCTCCCGAGCGTCACCCTGGTGCTGGGCAGGCAGCCCGATGGCGCCCGGTGCCAGCGCCAGCTGTGACACCGGTGGCACTCGAGGTGACAGGGCCACAGAACAAGTGCCAGCAGCTCTGGCAGCGAGCGGTGACATTCGGAGCGCTGTGTCAAACATCCCGAGTTAATCCTGCCGTGAGGTCCAGGCACCTGGACACAAACCATTCCCGCACGCCCCGCTGCCGGGCTCTGCCCTTGGGTGTCCTCGTGGGGATCATCTCCCTCCCTGCAGCCTGTCACTAAACCCAGAGGCTACTGCAGGGACAGAGCAGGATCAGCGGTGTCACCAGCGACCCACCAAGGTCCCCAGCGAGCTCCAAGCTGCTGCTATGGGGCGTAGAGCCGCAATCCCATGGGAAACAGCCCCTGCTCCACACTGGGGCAGACATGGGTGAATCCCGGACACAGACGAGCTGTGAAAAGGTTAAACCCACTCCCGCCTGCTTCCTGGAGCCAGGAATCCTACTGAAAAACAGAGGAAGCTGCAACTACTGTGAAAAAAATGACCAGAAGGCTCATCTGTCTCCAGAGTTATTTGATCAGAGGCCAGACAGCATCGTCTCTGTATAGACAATGTCTGCAAAGGAAGTCTCCAGTAAACACGCATCCTCTTGCCTGACTAGCCCTTTCCTTCTGCTCCACGCGGAGCCGGCCCCGGAGCCCGCACTGATTTACAGCCAAGCTGCCCAGGAAAAGCGACAGCAGGGAAGCGATAAATCCGCTTCCCGCAAAAGCGGCCAGGGCCCAGGGACGTCGGCTTCGTGTCCCGAAAGAGCCGGCGAGGAGCCTCCTGTGCCCTTGGGAAGGAGCTCCGGATGGTCTGTCCCACCGGGAAGGGCGCGGGAATGACGGAGCTGCCGGGACCGCGTCCTCCTCACGAGCATCCCCGGCTGCTCCACGGATAACGGGAGCGGTAGTTGCCTCCGCTGGGATCCGCGCTGCGCTGGGGGCAGCGTGCGAGCAACCGTAATTAGTCACTTAGGCTTTTAAGGAAAGAGGCATTCAAAGCGATTCAATAAATGCGATGCAAGAAAAGCACTTTTGGAAGCACTTACACTGGAAGCAAGTGATCCGCAGTCCTCCCTGGAAGAGCCAGAGGATCAGCTGGTGCCGGCTCGGAGCAGGGAGGACCGTGGCAATGTGGGGCAGAGCAGCAGGGCCGAGGCCGGGCGAGCAGGAGGCTCAAGGACAGGGTCTGGTCACGCTGCAAAGTGACACGGAGCCCTCCGTGCCGGTCCCCCGTGGCGCGCAGCGAGGCTGGATCCGTGCCCGGAGGCCGCCGGAGCGCTGGGACGGCACCACGGCGCTGGCGGCTAATGAAGCCCAGGCAGCTGCTGCAAACGGGTTTGAAAGGGATCCCTTGCGAGAACAAGGATAGAAAGGAGCTTTTCAAGATTTGCCAGCATCAATGCACAGTAATAAAGGCAGATCTCGGCTACCACAAGGCGTTTCAATGAGGGCTCTGCAGCGAAGGCAAGGCGGGGAGCTCAAAAGGGAAGGAGACCGGCTTGAAGTTTAATGAGGAGACGGGCAACGGAGCCGCGAGCTCGTTAGGACGCGAGCGCAGGCAGCGCCCGGCCTCAGCCCTGCCCTCGGCCGCCAAACAAAGGAGCCGGGCGCTTTGTTCTCCGGTGTCGGCGCGTCCGGCCCCGGCCTCCCCGGCACCAGCAACAGGCACCGAGGGCTTATTTTGAATTACCAGGACAGGGCAGCGAGGGACCCACCGGACTCCTTGCACAGAAGCCTCTCAAAACCCGGGTTTATTTCTCACCTCCTCCCGATGAGGTTGAGCACGGGCTTAGTGCAGAGCCCAGCTCTGCGGGTACCACATCCTCCCTCCGTTCCGCTCGCCCCAAAGCGACGCTCCATCCCAAGGAGCACATTCCCTAGCACCCCATTCACCCTCAGCCGAATTAACCATTCCCTACAGCTCCAGCACACGCAGGAGCCCAGGCTGCAACATTTCACACTGAGTGTCAGGAGCTTTCAATAAGGGCGCTCCATATCCTCCCCTCACAAGGATGCGATTCCCATCCCGTGGGCAGCCGGGAGGATGGGCCCTTGCCAGGACCATGGGCACCGCATGTCCCGGTGCCCCTGGCACAGCCCGTGCCCTCCCGCTGCCATCCCTGCACAGTGCTTGGCACCGCACGGGTCCAATGGCTCTGCTGTGTCACAGGCTGCTATTTCTCCACCAGATCAACATTTTGGATCTCGGGATTGCTCCAACGCAGAGCCCTTCCAAGCCCAGCAGGAGCTTGGGCAGAGGAGGCACCATCCCGGGCAGCTACTGCCTCAGCCACCTGTATCTGCCGCCTGACCTTGGCCCGCTCACAAAGGACGGAAAAGCTTTTATTCCCCACAACAACACTTCCGTCAAGGCGAAATCAGAGCGGGAGTATTTTAACCTGCAGGCCTGGCTTCACCCTGCGGGTTTTGTGCTGCTTGGAAGCCCAGGATCCCTCCTCCTTCCTGAGGCTCAGCAGCTCGTGCAGCTCCTCCACTTGGGGCCCTTTAGCACGAGTTTCCATGTGGGGCTAAAATAAGGACAGAGCCACCCGCTGCCACCCCGAGCTCCTCCTCAGCCCTTGACCCAGGTTCCTATTAATAAATTCAGAGGAGCTGGGTGGTGGGGGAGCCTCCCAGTGCTATTTCCACGCTGGCAAAGGCTACGTGGGCTTTCAAGCGCTCCTGGGCATCCCAGAGACCGGCACATTTGGGACCACAGCTGCTCCAAGGTGGCGAGCGTGACCCGACCGGCACCGGGAGCCAAACATGGGACCAACCCGGCACGGCTCCATGGGAAGATCCGAGCCAAGGAAGGGGTTCCCCAGGCACGTTCCTCCAGGGACACGAGGAGCAGGAGACCAAGCGCTCCTGCATGTCAGAAGGAGCAGGCGGGATGAGCGGCACCGACACCGCAGTGGGCACAGCTCCGCATGGCACTCCGGAGAATTGGGAACAACTTGACGGATGCACCGAGGAGGACACCCTGGCAAGGGGCCTCCTGCCAGGCCAGACCTCCCGCAGCTGCAGAACCCACAGAGCGCCCAGCAGCATCAGGAAGAGCCACCGGCACCCGCAGCGCACGGAGCCGCAGCCCCCGGAGCCCGCGGGCTTCCCGGGAAAGGGGCAGCCGGCGCTGCCGGGAATGCCCTTTATCCGGAGGAAACCAGCTGGGAAAGCAGCGCTGGGAAAACTCGCGTTTGTCCTCAAGGAGATCTGCCACGGCACGGTTAATCACAATAACTCCATCTGGATCAGAGAAAATTTATTTTGTTTTAAAAAGCACAAAGAACAAATTGTCCTGTACGGACATGGTAATTGTAGGCTTTAAATTTAGGCTCCGAGGCTCGCTCGCTGTTTCCAGCTGGAATAATGGTGTCCAAAAACACAGGATTCTGCCACCTGGCCCCAGTTCTGCCAGACGAGAGCAGAATTCAAGGGGGAGAGGAACAGGGCTGAGGATTGCTTCACCCTAGCTTAATTTCTCCATCCAACTGCATTACATCTGTAAAGTTCAAACGCTTCACAAGAAATTATCACCAACACCCGTCAGCACCCGGCCTGTCGGAGCGAGTTAACGATTTGTCACCGGGGCTCTGCCCGCATGTCACAGTGATTACAGCAAGGCTCTTTACTGCAGCCAAAGGTCTCATCACCAGCTAAGCAAACACGTTCTGCCCAGTGATTCCCCCTCCAAAATCCAGCCCGGCACAGAGCGGGATTGCAGCTGGACTGATGGGACACCCCAGAAATGCCCAATCCATCCCAAGTGCCAGTGGTGGGAATCCCGATGGAGCGAGGCTCCTTCCGAAGCAGCTCGCCCATCAGCAGGGATATCCAGGGGAATAAACAAGCTGGGTTTAAGATGAGCAGCGTCCAGCCTGTCCCACAGGACCGGAGCTCGCGGCTCTACTGGAGACGCTGCTCCGCGAGGCCGGTGGGAAGAGCAACGCGCGGAAGCCAAGGCCCTTCTCCAAGGTCACCGCAGAAGAGCCCCCGGGGGCTATTTGGGGCTGTGGACCCCGTCCCCAGCACCGGGGCCACCTCCTGTGGAACCGGGAGGCCTCGGTGGCCCCGCCGGCCGCTCCACCCCATCCACACCCAAGCGGGCGTCACCGACGGAGCGCGGCCCGGCCCAGGAATCTCCGTGTGCCGCGCAGGGACGCGAGGATCCGCGCGGCCGCCGCCCTGCACAAGCGGCTCCAGCGGTGCGAGATGCCTCCAGGCCTGGCAGCCGCCGCGGAAAAACCAAGCGGAGATGGCAGATTGGGAGAGATCTTTCGGAGCGCTGTCTAATTGGGAACATCTTTGTCTCCTGCCTCTCCCGCTCATAGCCATTTAGCAGAAGGACGTTATTCCTGTGGAGGGGGGGAACGCGTGGGTCACCCACCGAGGCGATCAAACACGTCCCGACGCTCCGTGGGAAGCCTCGAGGCTGGATTTGCAGCCGCTGTTCACATAGCAAGGGGGACGCAGGGTCCTGCATGTTTCTGAGCGGCTCTAAAGCCGACACGCAACAACCTGCCAGGTAATTTGCAAGGCAAAACCCAGGCCAGGGTCAAGCGCGAAGCTTCGGGGAGCAGGAACCTTCGCCAGGTCACCCAGAGCCTCTCGGACGGCAGCGCCCCACGTTCCAAGCCCTGGCGGCCGCGGCGCTTTCCCAGGCTCGCGGTGCGGGGCGGGCACCGCGCTCAGCCCCACGTCACCAGGGGACAGGCAGGGACAGGCCCGCGCACACCTGCACGGGGCCGCAGCGTCTCGGGTCATGCAGGGCCCCATGCAGAGAGGGCGATGCAATTTTGGAGAATTCTGCCATGGGATTCCTGATTTCCAGCCCGACACACCATATGTTAACACCACAAGAAGTCCAAGGCAAACTTGGCCTGTTTCTATTCAAATTTGTTTTCAAGTGCTGCTAATTAGAAGCCCGTCGCACTTGAAGTTCCAAGACTAGCACAAGCCTCGCTGCAGACACTGCAATTAGAGCCTTGGCAGTTCCCTGCAAGGAGCCACCGCGGCCGTCATCGCTTTGGGGCCGGGCAGGACTTGGCGCTGGTGCCCGGGAAAAGCGATAAGCACCAAAAAGCACCCAAAGCTCCCAGGCCAAAGCACAGCAAGGAGGGTACCCCCACCACAACCTTAACTCGGTTATACAT